AACTGCTGGAAACTTCTATGAACTGCTCGGAAATTCTATGATCATCTAGATAGTTCTATGGACATTTCGGAAGATCTGTAAACAGCTCGGAAGTTATGTGAACTGTTCGTAAGCTCTATGATTATTTCGGGAGTTCTGCAAACATTTCGAAAAATCTATGAATTTCTCGAAAGTCCTGTGAAGAGCATGGAAGCTCTAGGAACACTTTGAAAGTTCTATGATCACTTCGAAAGTTCTAAGAACTGTTCAGAAGCTCTATGTACTTCTCAGAAGTTAAAATAAATTCCCGGAAGTTCGATGAACTCCTGGAAAGTTTTATAAACTATGATCATCTAGAAAGTTCTATGAACATTTCGGAAGTTCTGTGAACAGCTCGGAAGTTATGTGAACTGTTCGTAAGCCCTATGAATATCTTGGGAGCTCTGCAAACATTTCTCGAAAGTCCTGTGGACAGCACGGAATTTCTAGGGACACTTCGGAAGTTCTATGATGACTTCGGAAGCTCTAAAAACTGTTCAGAAGCTCTATGTACTGCTCAGAAGTTTAAATAAAATCACGGAAGTTCTATGAACCGCTGGAAAGTTCTATGAACATCTCGGAAATTCGATGATCATCCAGAAAGTTCTATGAACATCTCGGAAGATCTGTGAACAGCTTGGAAGTTCTGTGAACTGCTCGTAAGTTCTTTGAATATCTCGGGAGTTCTACAAACATTTCGAAAAAATATATGAATTTTTCGAAAGTCCTGAGAACAGCAGGGAAGTTCTATGAACCGATCGGAAGGTCTAAGGACATTTCGGAAGTTCTATGTACATCACGAAAGTTCAAATAACCGCTCGGAAGATCAATGAGAGATGTGCCTTTAATAAAGACAATAATAATAATAATACAAGTTGGTCAAGTATTATTCAACTAGAACTAGAAGATACAATGGTGATAAAGAATAGGTTGATCCGATATTATTCTGAAGATCTACAACTGTCCAATTATTGTAATTCATATCAGATTGAACAGGACTTATTCCAAAGCCTTCAGTTGATCAAAGATCTTCATAAAATCCTTTGGATATTTTTCCAAGACTTCAGGTTGTTCAGATATTCTTACAAGACATCAGGTTGATCAGGAATTATCCCAAAGACCTCCAGTTCAACTGACCGACAATTCAAGTCACGTCTCTCATTTACATTTGTAAGAAACAGGTTGACCCAGGATTTACCAGGAATTATTCCAAATACCCTCAGTTTATCAAACATCTCCATAAAGTTCTTTGGTTATTTTTCAAGTCTAAAGGTTGATTAAGTATTGTTGTGAAGATCTTTAACTGGCCAACAATTCAAATCATGTTTTTCTGATATTCTCTCAAGATATCATGTCGACCAGGAATTATTCCAAAGGCTTTCAGTTGATTTAAGATCTCCATAAAATATTTTTTTCAAGACTTAAGGTTAGTTGTATATTGTTGTGAAGATCTTCAGCTGGCCAATATGGCCATGTCATGTATCTCAGATATTCTCTCAAGATATCATGTCGACCATAAATTATTGCAATGGCCTTAAGTTGCTCAAAGATCGCCATAAAGTCAACCGGATATTTTTTCAAGACTTGAGGTTGGGCAGATATTGCTTTGAAGATCTTCAACTGACCAACAATTTAAGTCCCGTCTCTCAGATATTTTTTAAAGATATTAAGTTGACCAGAAATGATTCCAAAGATCTTCAGTTGACAATGATCTCCATAAAGTCCTTTGGATATTTTTCAAGACTTAAGGTTGATCAGGCATTGTTGTGAAGATCTTCAGCTGGTCAACAATTGAAGTTATGTTTCTCAAATATTCTCTCAACATATCAGATTGTCCCGGAACTATTCCGAAGGCTTTCTGTTGATTTAAGATCTCCACAAAATCCATTTGATATTTTTTCAAGACTTGGGGTTGGGCAAATATTGTTCTGAAGATCTTCAACTGACCAACAATTCAAGACACGTCTCTCAAATTTTTTTTACTGAATTCAGGTTGCTCCAGAGTTGACCAGGAACTATTCCAAATACCTTCAGTTGATCAAAGATCTCCATAAAGTCTTTCGGAAATTTTTCAGTACTTGAGGTTTATCAGGGATTGTTGTGAAGATCTTCAGCTGGCCAACATTTGAAGTCATGTTTCTCATATATTCTCTCAACATATCAGATTGACCCGGAACTATTCCAAAGGCCTTCAGTTGATTTAAGATCTCCACAAAATCCATTTGATATTTTTTCAAGACTTGGGGTTGGGCAAATATTGTTCTGAAGATCTTCAACTGACCAACAATTCAAGTCACGTCTCAGATATTTTTTAAAGATATCAAGTTGACCAGCAATGACTTCAAAGACCTCCTGTTGATAATGATTTCCATAAAGTCTTTCGGATATTTTTCAAGACTTGAGGCTGATCAGGTACTGTTGTATAAGTCCTTTGGATATTTTTTAGGACTTGAGATTGATCAGGTATTGTTGTGAAGATCTCCAGATGGCCAACAATTCAAGTCATGTTTCTCAAATATTCTCTCAAGATATCAGATTGACCATGAATTATTCCAGAGGCCTTCAGTTGATTTATGATCTCCATAAAGTCCATTTGATATTTTTTCAAGACTTGGGATTGGACAGATATTGTTCTGAAGATCTTCAACTGACCAACAAATAACGTCTCTCAAATATTTTTTAAAGAATTCAGATTGCTCCAGAGTTGACCAGGAACTATTCCAAAGACCTTCAGTTGGTCAAAGATCTCCATAAAATCTTTTGGAAATTTTTCAAGACTTGAGTTTTATCAGATATTGTTATGAAGATCTTCAACTGGCCAACAATTCAAGTCATGTTTCACAAATATTCTCTCAAGATCTCAGGTCGACCAAGTCCTTTGGATAGTTTTTTAAGACTTGGGGTTAGGCAGATGTTGTTCTAAAGATCACAAACTCTTCAACAGTTCAAGTCACGTCTCTCAGATATGTTTTAAAGATCTTCAATTGATCCAAGATCTCCATAAAGCCCTTTGGATATTTTTTCAAGACTTCAGGTTGGTCACATTCTGTTCTAAAGATCTTCAACGGTTCAAAAAGTCACGCCTCTCAGATTAGAACGAAATCACACATTATCATGTGATAGTTATATGATAATTTTCTTTTTGTTCGAATGTTATTCTACTGTTTGTTTGATGTGATAGAGACGGCAGTAGAGCATGAGTGTACGAATACACACATACTGTCACTCTCGACAACGAAGCAAAGTGTAGTAAAAAAAACTTCAACCGTTTCAACCTCTGCTCAGAACACACTCGGAATTAGTTCCCTAGAAATTCGAATCAAATTCCATGAGCCTGGAAATATTTTCTTAGTTGGTTATTTTTTGTTTTTAATTCTGTGATCTTGGTAAATGTGCCATGCCCAACATCATGAATATTTATTTTCGCTTCAGATTCTTGAAAATGTTTTATTATTTATAAGAACTGACTTTAAAAAAAGCATTGTTTTAGTTTAAAATTGGTGAAGAATATATATTTTTTAAATTCTTCATGTGATTTTTAGTCGAAGGTTTAAAATTTAAACTTAAATCCACCATTTGGATTGCCTAATGTCATCGAATAACGATTCCTCTCTCATTAAGATTTTCAAAGAGCATCCACTCGGCGACCGTATCACCGACAAACCGACATAACTGACATCTGCCACCGTGTTCGCGAAAAATGTGTATCCTAGCCACGAACACACATACTAAATGTATGAGTTGGTTCGTGTCTAATCTATTCCGGGCAAATTATTTTATCTAGATAACAAATTTCTATGGTTTTGACAAATGGAAACGCTGCACATTTGAATCCGCCGTTATGGATTCTCGATCAAGAGTTAAGTTTTAGTTTCATGTCGGTTTGTCGGTGACCGTATTGCGTTTTTGAACTCCATTTCGTCATGTTAGATTTTCAAATGAAGTTGATGTTTGACATTTATCAATATCTGTATACCATGGCGTCCACCAGCTGTTTTCCGTTTCTAGAATTCCACTTCTTGACCACCACCTACCCGCACATTCCGGCACTGTGAGCACATCTACTGAATTAGTTAAACCTCAATCTAATAATTCGATCAACGGGAACTAACCGGACTCCGGAGGAAACCGCAGACCAAGCACCAAATTCCCATGCAAACCACCCGCCTTGCGTCGAGTCCCATCGGGTAGCATCGAATGTCATCAAAAGGGGAAGTTAGGCGAAATTTGGTACCGAGTCTACAGTGTCCAGTTTCGTTTCGCAACCGGAATCCGTACGTGGGTGTGTTCCTTAGTTCCCGCATCACATTAAATTTTGAAAATCCATCCTTACACTACGGAACCTATTCTACGGGACAGAGGGGGCGCAACGTGGCATCCAGCATCCGCACCGAGTCAACCCGGGTCTTCCATGGGCGATTGCACTCCACGCGTTCAACCCGCACAACCGAGACTTTCTGATTTTCTTGGTTTTTTTTTTTTTAAATTTTAGGTCCACTACTGGTTGACTGTATTGGGTTTGTAATTGTTTTCTTTCGTATTGCTACACACGACTTTTCTGAGATGTGGCAGATGTTGATTGTTCGAGTTCTTCTGTATATGAGAGTGATTTAATACTGAACAGGATTTCGTTCCTTGTTCTGGGTCGTTATTACTGTTGTCGAGTGCTGTTGGCAAGGTGAGCTAATGCGCAAAATTAGCAATGCGAGTGTGTGAGTGTCCAAGTGCAGTGCTGGCAATATTCACGCGTGTCACGCGGAATAATGCCAGCCCTGACAAGAACAGAGAGCGAGGCCAAAAGCCGTGTTCTGCCAATGCTTGCGCCAGTGTGCGTGTCATTTTTGCTGTCCGAGGCAAAGTCTGTATCTGATTCGTTTGTGTTTAGGTGTATGTTTGTTTGTGATTGTACAGCGTACGTTTAGCGTTTGTTTTAGGTAATGTTAGTTGTAGTTTTTTTTATTAAGATAAGAATGAATAACAACCTGTTGTACATCAAAACATCTGGTTTCCAAATTCGATGCGGTGGTATTCGTAGATCTTTGACACCACCATAGTCCGATGTGTTCCACCTTAAATTCATATCATTCCATTCCTTTTTTTTTTTTGATAGATTTATTTTATTTCGAGGGGGTGGGGTCATTCATGGGGAGGGGTTTGGTTGTTCGAATGGTATTTGGTGTCGATGCAAGTAAAGGAGTTTAGTTTGGTTTTCGCATACAAACGGTTTTTCAGTATTGGTTTTTGGTTGGTTTGTGACGGTTTTTTTTTCGAATCGATTCGAAGACGCAATATGAGGTGAAGGTGGTTAAATAGAAGAAGAGAAAAAAGAAACATATTTAATTAAACAACATACACACATATGGTAATAGAACTGACACACTGAAAAAGAGAATAAAAGAGTTAAATATTAAACTGTTTCAGTTCGATACGACGTCGCATTACATCATCGTGGGAATTTCGTTCGGCCGATAAATCTGTCATCAATCACAACGAACGATCCGTTCGTTGGTGAGCATCCCCCAGCAGAGGGAGATTAGGGATATATCGGACTTTGTTTGTGCTGTAAACCCCCGGGGTGACGACGGCGACGGGGAGGCCAGGATAAAGGTCACCAATATTCAAATCGAATGTGTCCCATTTTTGCACCGGAGGGGAAGAAGAGCTCAATAAGACACAGAAAATTGGTTTGTTGTTAAGTATGACTCTGGGGGACGGGATAGAAGGACCAACATCTGATCTATGAATTATTGATGCAATATTTTCTTTGAGTGATGGAGTTTTCTAAATCGGGAGCAAAGACATAACGGAGACGGACGTCTGGAATGAGAAGCTTTGCATTGTTTTATGGCCCGTGAGCTATGTTGGGGGTTTTGGAAGCAGTGAGTGCTGGCTATTTTAGATCCATCGGAAGCAGAACATGTTTGCTGAAATTGGAATGCTAATATTTAATGTGAGAAAACGGTCTCGAAGGGATTTAAAAATAGAATGGTCTTAGAAGTGTACACATAACAAATCGAGAAAGCATTTATTTACTTGAAATTTGGCGCTTTCTCCCAAGAAGCATAATAGGAAAATTTGCTAACAAACATCCCGGAAAGATGTTTTCATATAACATATGCAATGTTTCATAATCAATAACATTACATTACATGGATAATGTGGTACGTGTTATTGTCAAGTGGCCAGAGAATATTTTTCAAGTTTTTTTTCCGTTTCACGTCTGCTGCTGACAGTTGCGAATCTAAATTGAAAGGATCACTTGCTTGACGGAATTTTCATTCTTTTGCTGCGTTGCATTCTGAAAACATATTTTCGTTATTTCCTTCACGCTCATTTCGTAAAAAAGATTTTCGTAGAACCAACATTACGCATAACATCTCTGATCACGCCTTCCTTCGAAAGAGAAGTAAAGCCGTTGGTGGGTCTGAGTCGATAGGTAGGGTCCATTAGTGCTCAGCACGGAAAACAAGACAGACGGAAAACAATTTAAGGAAAAAAATTGTCATATGATATTTTCTCTTTTGACCCCCTTTATATAATTGAAGTAGTAATATTTTCATATGATGTTTTCCCTTTGGTCCCCTTTGCATAAGTAGAGGTGAAATTTTTTATCATGCTATTTTAATTTCGTTTGCATGATTGGAGGTGAAGATTTGGCATATGATATTTTCCGTTTGGACCCCCCCTCTTTTTGAATAATTGGAGATGAACAATTTGCACATGATATTTCCTCTTTGACCAAAGGAAAATATCTTATGAAAATTTCGGCATCTCCAATTATGCAAAGGGGGATCAATGTAAAATATCATGAGAAAAAAAAATCCCCTCTAATTACGCAAAGGGGACCAAAGGGAAAATATCATATGACAAGATTTTCACTTCCAACTATGCAAAAGAGGGACCCAAGGGAAAATATCCAATTTACTGAGGGGTAGGAAGTAACCTCCACCTATCCGAAATTTTGCTTCCATCAAACTTCACCAGTCGAAAATCAATCGACGCGACGCCTCATCTCCCAATTAATCTACCCCAGATGCTAATCTTAGCTCAACTTGAACTACCACTCGCAACACATCGATGAATTTAAAATTGCCTCCCGTTGAATTCCAAATAAAAATCATTACCTGAAATTAATTTCTTGTCCGCCCTCCCCTTGCCTGGCGAATCATTCGCTCTTTGTAGAAAGTCAACAGCATGAAAGAAAAACACAACTCCTACCAGTCAATCTTTGCCGAAGGAGGAGGGGGAGTGAGGGGGCAATATTCAAAAGAATCTCAATCTCCTTCCCGATCAAGAGTTGAAATGAACCTCGTCCTGTTTCAACCTTGTGCCTGCTTCAGGTTCCTCTGTACTGTGTATTGCTACTATATGTATCGTCTCCGGCGCCGGGTGGAAGTTTATTGCTTTTTGAAAAGAATGAGCCAACTTTTGCCTCCGTCGTCGTCGTCGTCGTCTCGAAAGTGTATTTTCAATCTTCTGCTAGCTCGTTTGGGAAAACTGCCTTCATCATTTCAGTTCGTATGTTCTACAACTGCACGAAGAGGGCTTCTAACCGGAGACCGGAAGTTGACCAAAACTTTTTTGCATTCCCGAACAGATATGCTAATGGGACCGGGATTGGTCTTGCTAGTTCCGTTCCGATTGAAACCCTTTTTATTTATATGAAAAACGGTGGTGGGGGACGGGGGTTTAGGAGTGGTCTTTCAATCGGTTGATTTGTTTCGCTGCCTGCCATCCACGGGGACGTTCGTTCGTAATACTTAACATTCCGATCCTGTCTTGTGGATGTTAAAGGTTTCTGTTGCCACAGCTGGAGTACATCTGGACTTTTCGTGGATACCTTTTTTACGGTGCACACGGTTAGTATTTCCTTGCGGAGCTTACATTCCTTCCCCACCGGCACTACCTAGATAATTGAAATGACGTTGCTTTTTCAGCCTTTTGTCCAAAATTCCGGGCCATTTCCATGCTTCAGTCAAAAGACGGTAGAGGGAGTCAGGATGATTCGATGATAATTTTTAAATTATGTTAGTTTAAACTTTTAATCTTCGGCTCGTCGTGACTTCGCGTATTGCTTGCTCCGATCGATGGATGGAAAATTTCTTTGTAAAATTTGTTGCTAGATCGAAGGTAAAGGGTGGAACGGTCAAAAATTGGTCGACTGAAATCCAACGATTTTTTTTTTTTAATTGTGCATTTAAAAAACTTGAACATCCCTCATTTTGTAGGTCTGTGCAAACGGAATCTAGCCCCTATTTTGTTTTTGCCATTTACCATACAGTTGTCAAAATGGCGTCGAAGCACGCGAAACTCAAATTATTCCCATTCAGATTTTGTTGCTGTTGTTGTTGTTGTTTTGATTTGTTTTCCTTCGATCTTGTTTTCCGTGCTGAGCACCAGTGCTACCGATGCCAGAGAGGCACCTGAATCCGACCTATCGATTCATCAACTCATGAACCGGGGACCAACGGCTTTACTTCCCTTCCGAAGGATGTTGTGATCATAGATGGTATGCCTCAGAACATTCCGGCGGTGCCGACTGGAATTGAACCAGGTCCAAAGTTTACATGGCTACCGGAAATGAAAAGGTTCAAGATATGTTTAAACAGAAAAAAATTGTCAAAGTTCCCGAAAAAATACAAGGTTTGGCATGCGATTCACACCTGTGGGCTGAAAAGCGAAATTTTCAGGACAACTGCCATTGTCAACCAAGATATTTATGAAAAGAAATGTTTGTAAAAATGATTGTTGCCTTTGTTGAAGAAACACAGTTGTTCCGTTCTGTTTTGACCCGACCTCACTTCCTGTCACTAAAGGAAAATGGCTCAGGAGCGGTATACAACCAACAACGTGCAAGTCAAGTCAAGGACAGGCATGGAAAATCATTTGCATTCATTTCATACATTAATTTACATTCATTTGCCTCTAACTTTTTTTATCAACAGCATTCCGCAAAATGATGTACAAAACTTTTGTAGGTTTTCTTATTAACTACAACTGTTGCTTATAACTCAAATCTGTATCTCTTATGCATCACGAACTAGAGCGGGCAGAACTTGTTACTGTTTTTCAGGGAATGTAAAATACATTCACTGAAAAATAGTAGTGGCTTCTGTTCGCTCTGTTTCGTCATGCATAAGAGATACGAATTTGACTTGCTAACAAAAGTTGTAGCTAATAACAAAACCTGCAAAAGCTCCATACATCATTTTGCGGAATGCTGTTGAAGAAAAAAGTTAAAGGCAAATGAATGTAAATGAATGCACGAAATGAATGCAAATTATTTTCCATGCCTGCCCAAGGATAAAAACCCTCCAAACTCGCCGAATTTGCACCCAATTGAAAAATATTGGACAATCGTCAAGCGGAACCTCAAGAAAACTCAGAAAACAGTTGGAAATGAGAAACAGTTCAAAGCAAATTGACATTCAGGTTGATACAACAGTGGTGCAAAATTTAGTTGAAACATAAAGCCCGACCACATTTGGAAAATCAGAAGCCTAATCAAATAATTTTCGTGTCTTTTGTAGACATTGAGCTTCAAAATGAAATAAAGTTTCATCATTTATGCTCTGCTACTACGAACAGAGAGTACCAATTTCAAATTTGTATGTTTTGTGGAAGCTGACATTTGTACCTTTGAAGTTTCACGCTAAGGCTTCCTTTGAGTAACTCCTTAATCAGTGTGCAGTTAATCATGATTGACCAATTTCTGACCGTTCCATCCTTTATTCTATTAGAACTGTGACTAACAATCATCGAAAGCGCGCTAAGAATGCTAAGTTCAGAGCAGAGTTCTTCTGGGAGCATGCTCACATGCACAGCCCTTAGGCCGAATGTTATTAGGCCGAACACCATTTCGCCGAACACTAACTAGGCCGAATGGGTCATTAGGACGAATTGTTAAAAGTTTTTCGCTTTTCACTATACGACATCTGCATTGTTCTGGTTTAAGAAAAAAATTAAAAGCAATCAGTGATGGTATAATCATTAGCTGTTGATGATAGTTTGAATAACTTTTTTCGCTAGTGGTCAACTAGCAAATAGACGAACTCGGCAGCACCCAAGCAACACAGAAAACATCTCAATTTT